AGTCAAATCCACCAACGTTAATCTACTAACTTTCCCGACAAAAATGGTGTATTCGGCAGATGGCGGATTATGATTGGTCAATCTAACTCTCTGCTAACTCTATAAAACTGTACCTAATTTAGCTAAGGCTGTCTCCTGATTCAAAACCAGGCCATTGTGTTTTTAACTGAGACTATTTATAAAGCTTAGAAACGTGTTTCCTTTTTGGCACTGAATCCAAGTTCAATGCTAATGCATGACTTTTCCTCCCACTTAAAATATTCTGAGCCTGTTGAAAGAAAAATAGCCAGGTGTCTAGGAAAAAATCTTATGTTTTAGCTTTGATGCAATTGAACATTTGCAAAATGGTAACAAATTCCTAATCCTTTGTTCATCACGATTGAAGAAATTCTGTAATGCTGAATTTGTGCAGTCAGCAACCCTGTTAAAGGTGCATTAGGAACCATTTGTTGAAATTGGAGTTGGAAAGTGTTTTGTGAGAGCGTTCATTCATAATAAAGGGGATCCTTTGTAATTGTTATTTAGAGAAGTAGGAAAATGGCTTTTGCGAGCCGTGTGGGAGTGAGTCATTAATTAACTTTCAGCAGCCTAATGAAAGACCTCTAAGGAAAGAAACACACTAATGAGATTAACAACGGTGTAAATAAATTAACTTCAGCACAGCCCTATCAGTCACCATTGCCGCTGACACCAATTGCTGTTGTTTAGCAAAATCACTTCACGTCAGTCTGGCTCTTCTATGGTCTGTTATCATTGCCCTTCTTTTGCCCTTTTAATAGAGTTTTTAAATATGAGCAAAAGTACTCGTTTGTAAGGTTTATGATTGCACAGCCATATTCACTGAATAGATGGTAAAATGTACCATGTCCATCATATCACTATGCCTATTTGTACTTGCAAAGCTATCAATAAATTGACATATGTAAGAGTGAGACTTAAATTAAGCAAAATAAACAGGCTTTGTGTGGATTGTCGAAATGTAGGAAAGGCTATAAAGCAGAAAACTGGACCGAAATGACATCTTTAAATGGCTCTTGTTTACAGCGACCACAATTTCAGCTTCATTACCACACCTTTTACACCCTAAAATTAGATTATAGAAATGGCAGGACCGAAAATGTGAAGTAAACAATACAGTTTGTATAAGTTGCATGTCAAACCTCAAGAAAACAGTGCAAATATTCAGACGAACTCATCGATTTTAGGCTGCTCACGATTCCCCAATGCGTTCGTTTTGGAATTTAGATACATTTAGAAGATGACATACGAAAGGTTCGGTTCATCTTTTATAATATACAGGTTTTTATTATTTTAGTCTGTCCCAAATTGTAGTACATTTGAAAAGGTCAAAGGTGCTTGTAAGGCATACCATATTCAGGTGGATTATTCTGCACTTCCTTTTTGGGCTACGACTGGCTTGCTTCATCCAAACGTACAAAATCAGTGCAGTATGTACTCTTTATACTTAGTACACTGTAAAAAAATATTGATGGTTTAACTTAAAAAAGTAAGTAACCTGGTTGCCTTAATTTTAAGTTCATTGAAATGGAAAAAGTGAGTTAATACAATGAAGGAGAAGGATTTAATCATTAGAAACTCAAAAATATATGTTATCTGAACTAAATAAATGATTTAAGTTGATTTGACAAAGAAAAAATGTTGTGATTACTACACTGTAAAAAAAATATTGTTGGTTTAACTTAAAGTAAGTAACCTGGGTTGCCTTAAAATTTTAAGTTGATTGAACTGGAAAAAGTGAGTTAATACAATGAAGGCGATTAATTGAATCATCAGAAACTCACAATAATAAGTTATCTCAACTAAATAAATTATTATAAAGTTGATTCGACAAATATGTTGTGATAACAAATCTTGAAAATATTTTTTTACAGTGTAGTAGCATGCAAATTGGTCTCATCTAACATTAGCAGTCCAGAAGGCTGCTGCTTAAACGCCAATACATAGTCATTGATTCATGAGTTCAGAGTTGAATGAGTTAACCATCATCAAGTCATTATTGGTGTATAGTTCACGTGGACTCTTGGCTCTTCCTAATAAAAATGCCATGCGTTGTTGTATGTCATTTCAAATTCTGCACATTTTCATTCAGAGTAACGCTCTGATCGTGACCCCAGATCGCACCTCGACAATCTGTTCTTGATGAATGAATTTATTGTTGCTGATCTTGTGTCTCTCGCCCATCAGTATTTTATTCTCAATCCACTGAACTCCAGACAGAGAAATGGATATGCATTCGTTATTGTACGCATCAGAGAATATCTTTCAAACATTTCTGTGATAAAGAATAGCATGAATATATCTTGAACATAACGTTGTTTATAACAGTATATTATTTTAGAGCAAATCAGGCAAATTATAAAGACATTGCAGAGAAAAATGTCAGTTTAATGTTTTTTGAGTCAAGACAATTATAGACTGTAAATGACGCTATGACGCTAGAAATGATGCTATCTATGATAAATGTTCATCTTGTAAGTGTTTTAATTTGCTTCACTCTTATGAGTAAGTTCTTGTGGAAACAAAAAGACTGTCTGCAGGATTTCATGAGCATTTGTTGTACCTGTTGAATCATCTAATACAGTGGTTCTCAACCTTTTAAAATGCAAAGTAGTCTAAAACAAAATTCAAAGGCTCCATGGATTAATTAGCAGAAGTTATTACCTCTTACCTGCGCTTGACGTCATTTAACGCCACTCCTGCATTGTTGAACCAATGTGGTTCAAAACGACAAAGGTGCGACCATGTTACTACGGTTTTGGGAAACAATCGTGACTAGTTGGTTCGTTTCTTGAACAATGAATTGCACTATGGTAGATTGTTGTACGGAAATTGGGAAACACACCCCAGGTTGAGAACCACTGGTCTTATGCATAACACTTAAAATGGTGTTAAAAAAGCTTAAAGTGTAGCTGGAGTACAAGCTTTCAGTGATAAGTCACAGTCTTGTGCTTTTCTGTCTGATGATTTTGTTTACCAAGCAACTATAAACCTTTGGGATTTATCAAGCATTACGACAAAAAAAGTGCCATGGTAACTACATTTTCAGCCAAAAATCCATAGTAACTGCATTTATTTTCATTACTAGAACACCAGGGCTAGTTTTTTTACATTAAGTTTTGCTAAGGTATAATTATGGATGCTTATGTGAATTCAAAGCCCTCCCTAAAGTCTGTAGATATGGATCAAGTTCATCTTTCAAGACAAGGCCAGAAACATGTTAATTAACTTGCTCAAGATTCGGGTTACGCTTTATTTTGAGGTGGCGTAGTTACATTGTAATTACTAAAATAATTATGAAAATGTACTTGGTTTAGGGTTAGTTTATTGTAATTATGCATAATTTATCTAAGTACATCATCTTAAAATAAAGTTTTACCAAAATTCTCTTCAAACTATTGCTTTGTCACAAATTTAATTGACCTGATAATAAAACCTTAAAGGAGTAGTTCACTTTTCAAAAAACCTTTGCTGATAATTTACTCACCCCCATGTCATCCAAGATGTCCGTGTCTTTCTTTCTTCAGTCGAAAAGAAATTAAGGTTTTTGATGAAAACATTCCAGAATTTTCCCCATATAATGGACTTCAATGGGAACCAAATGGTTCAATATCCAAATGAGAGTTTCAGTGCAGCTTCAAAGGGCTTTAAACGACACCAGACGATGAATAAGGGTCTTATCAAGCGAAAAAATCTGTCATTTCAAAAATGTTCTGTGATGAGCGTTTGTGACTCTCCTGTTTGAACTCGTTCATCAAAATGAACAAATCTTTTTTCGAGTCATGACTCGAAGGGTCCTAGATAAGACCCTTATTCATCGTCTGGTGTCGTTTAAAGCCCTTTTAAGCTGCTCTGAAACTCTCATTTGGACCTTGAACCGTTTGGTTCCCAATGAAGTCCATTATATGGAGAAAATCCTGGAATGTTTTTATCAAAAACCTTCATTTCTTTTCAACTGAAGAAAGAAAAACGTCGACATCTTGCATGACATGGGGACTAGTAAATTATAAGCAAAAGTTTTTTTTTTAAAGTGAACTACTCCTTTAACGTAAAAAGACCTGTGAAATACCCGCTATAACACTGAGATTTGGTTATGAAGCACATTTAGGCCTGCATGTACTCAAGTGTTTTGTTATTAGGTGAAAATTCAAATCCCTAATCCTAACTATGAGCAATGGTAGAGGAGATTTAATTCAATTCCATTTTAGAGGTGTCTATCACCAAGTTAATAATAACAACACTGTTTTTTTATTTGGTGGATGCTATGGTTACAAAGTTTTTTTTAAAAATGGTAAAAAGTCATCATAATATTATGGCAACGTGACGAAGATCAACTGAGATTAAGAGGATTAACTGCACTTTCTCATTCTCTAGAGACGACAGAGGCTGATGGCAGAAAGAGTAGGAGATGCGTTATCAAGGGTTATCAGGCGATTTGTAAGAACATGCTCCGCTTGTAAAAAAAAAAAAAAATCCATCGTTGTTTAAATCAACAAAGCAGTGTCTTGGATATATTTCACTGATATGGGGTTCGAATGCGGAGCTGTGGCTGTGCATTACAGTGGAAAAACTTCAACAAAAGCACTCCTATCTAAGATCTCATATCCTTCGGGATGTTTGTCTTTTGTACGTCGTTCATTAATTTCGTTCACATTGACTGCGGAAATTACACCTGTATCGGTGACCACGAGGCCTTTCATTTTAAGCTGGCGTTTTCTGCGCGACGGTCGGTGGTACGGAACGATATCATCGGCTTAACTTGATCTGGTCATTCAATACGAAAGGATTCACAAAGTGAGACTGACAGAAGAACACGCATATTTCTTTGTTTTTATTTTCATTTTGGGTGTCATTGTCTTTGCTGTACATATGCTTGCGGGGGTGGCTAGCGACGTCCAACGCCAGAGTGTTGCGAAATGGCCATCTGTCTACAATGTCTGTCAATACACACAATCCAATACTAAAGGCAATGTAATTCACAGGAGGCCTTTCACACCTCTAGACTCCAAAGGGATCGACGCAGGTTTGGATCGTGTCACTAAGCCACCATTCATCCCCTCTGAACGTGTGCGCGGCATGATAGCGGGTATTTAGCACTCATAAAACCAATCCTGTTATGTGGATGTGTGTGTTGTTCTGATTCACTCATTATCTCTGTCCCACATTACTTTCATGTTCACTGTACTTGGTTTATTGTTTGTGCTTCTGTTTTTTTTCCAGGTCTGCTGGGATGGGTTGTAGGCTAATTCCTTCTTGTTCCTCACCCTTTTGGCAGCTGTTTGGATCCCTGGAGGAAGTTCACCTGTAAACTCCTGTTACACAGCATCGAATACGGCTCTACAACATCTGCTCAGCCACAATAGTGATTTTAAAGTAGGATTTCAAATAGCAACTGTGAGACATGAGATGCTGCATTTAAATGTTTTTTATAGTTATGAACTAAAGTATCTTAGCCATGATAAAACCACTGTAATGCACAGGCTCAAAAAGCTTCACAGCGATTTACTAAATAGCATTATTATTTACATTTACATCAAATATTTACATAATCTACAAGAAGTATTGTCAATTCACCGCAAAATAATTGTTCATTAGCTGTATGCAATATTAATGTCAAATAGGAACAAAAATCGTTGTCAGTGACAAACCAATAGACAATGTCAATTAAATAAAAAATTGTATTAATCAAATTATATTTTCATTGACTTAAATTATATGGCATATGGTTAGTAATATTAATGGATATGACAAAACAAAATATGAACTAAAGTTGGCACATTTTTAAAAGTTGCCAGCCACCGCCAGTATTTTTGATGATGATAAAAAAAAAATATATCATGGCCCCCAGAATATTGATGTATGAATATCTGAACATGCAATATATCGAAAGAAAGAACAAAGCATAAAACAAAAAAGCTCCTTTTATTCTAGTTTCATGCATTGCATCAAGTTTAATAAAAAAGCAACATTGAAAAAAACTTGTTTTTCTACACCCAGATCGGATTCAGAAGCCCACAAAGCTTGTACTGTCCTATATCTCATCTTGGACATTTCATTCGGTAACATTAGGTTGTTTTGATTTATATGCTGTATAATGTTGATGATTGCATTATTACATATGCGTATGCTTACATATGCTATGCTATCGCTTAATTGTTTCTGCTTCTTTCGTCTGTGTTTTTGATCCTGAGATCTGTTCTCATTCAGAAGGTGTTTAATAGCATTCCCTACCGTACAACAATGAAAACACAGAAAACTCGAAATTTCCTTCGTTGTCTTATAAATGATGGAAATGAATATTAATGGAAGTCAATGGGGCAAAAACAGCCAAGAACAGTAAATCTGATGCTGCACAAAAACTAACAATGCATCAAAACCAATGTTGTTTCTAATCTTTGACATGTCCAAGACTGTGATAAAAGGTAAAAAAAAATCCAGTCCACAATCATATTTTATATTGAAAACAAGTCATTTTGTGTGTTTTTTTCCCCAAATCAGTGACATCATTTATGAATTTGGCAATTAAAGAGTTAAAATCCTGAATTTTTTTGAAAAAAGTTTTCAGCCACAAATATAACGAAAGGGTAGTGAATTTGCCCAGAGTGTACTGTTGAGTGTTTAAAAAAAAATATCAAAGCATTTTCCCAAAATATGTGTCAAAATAAGACTTGTCACCAAAAATCATTCCATTTGCTGAAACAAGGAAAAAGTTATGGCCAAATTAAGACTAAAAAATACCCGATAGTGGCTGAAAAAAGCCACAACAGCACATAAGGGTTAAACTGTTGTACAGTCACATTAAGGTGTTTACTGTACCTGTAGGTTGTTTGCTGTTCTTCAGGCAATGCTAACATTTTTAAATAACTGGAAATCAAGCATGCTAGTTAATTTACCAAACTTGCTTTATATTTATGAGCATTGAGTCGTGAAGTGAGATGTAATTGTGACATTACTGGTTCTTTATTTCACTCTTATGCCATGATCTGGGCAATAAGAGCATTTTTCATCACGATTCCCTGATTACACATCACTTTACACACTCGGGCTGTCATTTTGTCTTGTCATAATAACCGTCTGAGTTTTCCTCTATTTAAGGGCTAGCCTGCATGCTCATAATTTAGCATAAAGTGCAATTCACAGTGATAATTAGCATGTATTTATTTTTAAATTGTGTCCCCAATGAAAGGTGTGGACACAAAGCACACATTTGGCACTTTTTTTTAAGAAACTGAATTAATAAATGGAGATATACATATAGTTTGGCCATAAACAGACAAAATCGTAGCACTATTCAGATGTTGTGTTAAAATAAAGTGTGACTCCTTTATTCATAACCCAAGTGACTCATCAATGTTAATTTCTTAAGATTCTTGTCTAAGTCTTTGATTTGTTTGTTGCAGGTATAGCTCTGAATACTGTAGTATTAAGGTCCTTCTCGGGTGATCTGATCAGAGGTGGACAGCACGATATAGGCAGGTATGAACGATCACTGAAACCACATTTTGAGTTGAAAACTGTACACAGGAGATGTATGTTACTATCAGGTGTAAACCGAAATCTTTCTCGCCTGACCACTTGTGATCAGACCAGCCGAGGCGGATTTTAATCCCAGGTGTAAACAGGGCACACGGCTTATCTCCATCATCCTCTCATCCGTTACCAGTGTCAGGAGAACAGGCTGTTTGTTTCTGTCCAAGCCTGTCGGAGCATGCATGCTGCAGTTCTTCACAAAGCCATTGCAGGATGTAGGATGTAAGAGAGAGCAGAGAAAATGCTGCGACACAATCACAGCCAATCAGAACATGATTGATGTTTAAGCCGTATTCACATCTTGCCAGGATTACAGGCATGAATAACAGCAGTTATTCTGCTGGTAGGTGCCAAAATTACCCCATTATGCAGGCAAAAGGCATGTTTTATTAATGACCATTCAAAAGTAGGTCTGTTTTGAGAAAATGCATTGGAATACATGCCTCATGCTCAACAGTAATACTGTATGTGAAATATTATTTAAGAAAAAACGAATATGCTGATTTGATGCTCAAGAAACGTTTACTATTATGCCGAACACAGTTGTGCTGCTTAATATTTTTGTGGAAACTGTGATGCATTTTTTTCAAGAATATTTGATCAATAGAAAGGTCCAAAGAACAGGATTTATTTGAAATATAAATCTTTGCAACATGAATATTAAATTGAACTGTTTTACAGTCACATTCTGGTATTTACTGTAGGTTGGCTTGCTGTTCTTCAGGCAATGCTAACAAACTTGGCTTCTTTGAGTATTTTAAAAGAACTGAAAATCAAGCATGCTAGTTAATTTAATAATATAAATATATAATGTGATTTTTAAAATTAAATAAAGTTATATATAATATAATGTGGCCTTTTTAAATAAAATATACATTTTCGTTACAAAAAAAAAAACGTACTGACCCCAAACCTTTGAACGGTACTGTAAGTCAGTAACAAAGTTCTAATAGCAGATATTTCATCAGGGTTTTATTTTAACTGTGAGAAATAGACTTGCATTTTTCACTTTCTGTGGCAAGGAGCCACATATAGCGTGACATGTCACATGACATTTATGGCTTTGTAAAAAAAAAAAAAAAAAAAAAGCCCAAAATAATTGTTTCTGGAACAGAATACGGCGCTAACCGAGCGATTGTTATGAATGTGATGATGGGAATGCTTAATGGATGATATTTTCCAGGTATATTGAACTCCTCAGAAGAGAGGCTGTCAGAAGTCCAAACAGAAGCCATGTTTGAGGGTCCCACAAGAAGACCACTGAAAACGTCAAGACGTCCATCTTTGTGTTGCCTTACAGTATCTGTTCCAGCCTACAGCCATCTCTTCACTGGTCATGTTTTATGGTCAACATGCAGGCAGGTTTTCGTGCGACGCTTCGAGCTGTGCTACAAGTCATCTCCTGTCATTTGAGATAGGGACCATCCCTGCCATATGCAACAAGCACACTTCATCCAGACAAGCACAGATGCAAAGGATTGTGGAGGAAATACAGGAGTGGACAGAAGGAACAACACTGGCCCATAAGTAAGTGTGCACTCAACATTTAGTTGCCATGACAGCAGTCATTTAACTAATGATTGGAAGTGAAATAAGAGGTTATGATTATGATTAAGGTCACTTCATAACAATATGACAGCGGCGTTACTCACAGGCAGCAGAGAGATCATTTGTTGGCAGAATTGCTTACGGAGTGACCGCTTTGAGTGTCATTTCACATGTATGGAGGTCAGTCAGTAATGTCAATAATGGTCTTGTGTCAGTCACATTATAAATTATACTAATGATAATGCCATTGCTAATGATTAGTTTCTGTGACACAAGCATTATGCAGTCATTTGAGCTGATGCTTTCTGTATATGCAGTGGTGAACAATCTACAAATACTTGATTTTAAAAAATCATTGCGGTACTTTTAAGGGACAATGTGTACTTTATATATTTTAGTATTTTAAATCAATATTTTTATTCATAAATATGTCATCAATGGTGTAAAATTATCTGACTTATCCTCGTAAACGAAGAATTTATGATCTATATATACTGTATATGGGACGGTAGATCCACGGAGGCTTCCATGTAGTTCCGCAATCTTGAAAAACTATAATAGCAGAGAGGGACAAAAAGTGCTAGGCTAACGCGTTTCCACAATGCGTTTTAGTTCAGAGCCAGCGTGACGTGACTGAAATCAGCAGAGCAGTGGCTGCAAAAGGCTGCATTGTAAATCCTCATCGCCAGAAAGGTCCAAAATACATCGGAAAAGGAAACGTGACCGGAGATTACAAAAAACACGAGTTAATGTCCATTTTGCTTTTCCAGGTGATAGAGCTAATGCAGGAGAAAGAGTTCAAAAGAGACGCTGCTTTCTTCTCAATAGGTAAGTCAATGTTAGTCTTAATTACAAGCTTTTTTTTCATTGTTTGGTTGTGTACTTTATTTTATAGACAGATGAATATTTATAGTTAAAAGCTGATGATGATATCTAACAATGCACGTACTTCAGAAAATATAACGAACAAAGAAGGTAGTTCCAATAGTTCATGTTTTTCACAGTCCTGTAACATTCGTTTGTTCATTGTGTCAAGTTGAAGTTTGTTTGAAATAACAAACCCGTTCACCCGAAGAGACACTCGACGAAGTGCTGTTAGAAGACATCCTGTCATAGCTTTTTGGTACCGTAGATGCGACGCGCATTTGAAAAAGCGAGGAGCTGGAGAGCACAATTCATTTGAATGCAAAATACACTTTCACCGCTAGATGGAGAAATTCCTACACAGTGTCCCTTTAAGCATACAACAGTATTTACTTTTAAGTAGAGGTAGACCGATTAATCTGTCTTTTTATTAATTTTTGGCATTTTTTAACATAATCGGTATCGGCCAATATCCAAGTATATCAAGCCGATTATTAGGCAGGCGCATCTGTGGGCAGCCTAGTGTTGTCGTGGAACACGTGTTTTGACGCACGCTGCCGCTAGAGTCATTTTCCAGCCGAGTGAGCAGCAGACCTAAATATGAACGCGTTCAGGCACAAAGCTGACCGTTAGTTAGTAGCTGGATTGAACATGGTTAAAATGCTGGCCAAACAGTGTGAAGTGTGACTGTATTTCACTGTAGAATAAAAGGTCCAACAGCGGGATGCCGTTGTGGTGCATTTAAAGTTTTTGTAAAATATCATTTTCCCAT